TATATTTTTACAGTGTACAGTATCCAGTGATTTTCGTTATCTAGAAAAACGATAAAAAAGACTTAAATTTTTTGACATAAATAAAGACACAAAATTGTATGAAAAATATTTTATTTTCTTTAAAGTAATGTATAAAAAACCAACAAATACAAAAAAAACATTTCCATAACCTACCCTTCTTCCTCAATGATATTATCTGATGCAGTAGTTGGCCATGTAACGATGTTTTCGTAACATTCTTTTTATCTTCTAGAATATATGGAAATATTTTCAATTTCCATCTTCCATCTTTTTCTTATTTATTGGTATTTTTGCCCTGTATGCTCTGGTAGTAGGCAATGAAGGGATTACCCCATTTTTTGAATTAGAAACCTTCGTTTCAGAAAACCATCTATTTGTTTTGAAACTGTTACCTAGCCTTTATGGGAAGAAGAATACTTTAACTATCTATATTTGGATATCATAAATTGTCCACCGACTTACAAGTTTTTTTGTAATCATTTGTCCAGGTATTTACTTCTGATAGTCTTTTTGTTGTTCCGAAATATCGGGTCGCACTGTAAAAACGAAATTCCACGCACAGGAAAGTACTGATAAACTTTATCGAACCGTCCAGTTGAAACCAACATCCATATCCATATCTTCCAAATTAGGCTACATACATCATCAGGTCCTCGTAATGTAAACAAAACACGTAAAGCCATAGTTTACTTAAAACTTAAAACTTTTTAGCTCATCTCAGATGTACCATCTTTTGTGCAACTGTTACACGCTTGGCGTTTTCATTCAGCGTTTGACTTGTTATTTTAGCCCCGTTTTTCACAAGTTGAACAAACGTCAACTTGTGGTCTTCCAATCTATAGCCATAGTTATCACTATGGTATTTTCAAAAAAAATCGTACTTAACGACCATGATGAACGGCATGTAAAATGCAATTTTTAGATTCCCTTGCCGAGTAATTTATCAAGCTGTTTGCTTTGCAAGTTTTAGAAAGCACAATGGTCAAGATTTGAATTCGATTTCGCCAGGTAGAAATCGTATGATTTCTCTTTTTGTTAAATAGAAAACAATTCAAAAACGGGAACATGAAACGTAAAAGGACTCTGAGCACTAAAACATTTAGATGAAATCCGTGAATCGTAATAATGGCCTTACAAGAAACCAAGCAGCTGGGAAGTGAGATAGTGAAAATTAGCTCCAACTTATAATCGAAGGCAAAGTCAATAGCAAAAGAGGACCAGGAAGAAGACGCAACTCTTGGATTAAAAACCTACGGAAATGGACGTACATGACCTCCATAGAACTATTCAGGGCTGCTACAAATAAGATTAAATGGGCAAATGTAATGGCCAATGTCCTTAAGAATAAGGCAACGTAAAAAGAAGCAAAAGAAATGGAATAACAAACCATCATATTTGGGCCGACGAAAATCCTCACGCCAAAAATACGACTCATGACCAAAGGACTTTCAAAGTTAATGTTTGGGCAGGAATTGTGGATAGTAATCTAATAGGCCCAGTATTTCTTCCCAACAATTTAAATGGTGATAATTATTTGCAAATTTTGCATTTTTTTTGCAAAATTTGCAAATAGTGAAAAAAGTGCTAAATAAATTTGTGAAATCAAGCGACCATCGTATGGTGAGAGCCACCATTATGTTAAATACCAACTATGAACGACACAATATGATAAAAAAGAAGCAAATAAACAGATGGACACATCCAAACAACGAACAAAACTTTGAAGATCATATCGGTAAAATTCCTTCAAGAAAAAATCATCAACAAATGATATTAACATTCTAAATGACATAATAGTAGAAGCAATAACAGAAGCTCAAAAGAAATGCTGCCCAAAAAGCGTGAAGGAAGAAAAAATTAGTCTGGAAACACAGAAAAAAATGGAACAAAGAAGAATACTGAGAAGCGACGAAAACTCTAGTAATGACGATATAAATAGAATGAACAAGGAAGTATCAAGAGAAATCAGAAAAGACTTAAGAAAATACAAAGATGAGAAAATCATCAAAACCATTGAGGAAAATAAGAGTATAAAAATAATGAGACGCAAACTGACAAATGGAAATAAACAAATAGTCAAACTCAAGGATAGAAATGGCAACATCACATCAAACAGAGAACATTTGTTACAAATTGTGGAATCATTCTATGAGACATTATATAGCAACCAATCGACTCTAGATATAGTCGAATATCAACAGAGGAAGGTCCAAAATCAGGGTTCCGAAGATATTCCAGAAATCGACCACAGATATTGTAATATAATTAAAAATATATATGAAAATGCCACAACAACCATAAGTCTATATTCTGCAACTAATATAATAAAGATAAAAAGGGGAGTCAGGCAAGGTGATACCATGTCACCAAAGCTGTTCATTGCCGTTCTTGAGTATGCATTTAAAAGACTAACATGGCAACAGAAAGGAATATCCATCGATGGAGAAAGATTAAACCATCTACGTAAAAGACATGCTCCAAAAACTGAATGACATACTACAAGAAACTGGGCTGGAGATAAATTTCGAGAAAACCAAAATGATGACCAATATGGTTCCCAGCGAAGAGATACATATCAATAACAACAAGGTAGAATTAATCGATAAATACACATACTTGGGTCATGAAATTAGAATAACCAGAGACAACCAAACCTGCGAGCTAAATAGACGAATCATGTTGGGATGGGCGGCATATGGACGGATGAGAGACATTTTTAAAACAAATATCCCAATTCACCTGAAAAGGAAGGTATTTAACCAATGCATCTTACCAGTCTTGACCTACGAAGCAGAGACCTTAACTTTAACGAAAGCTACTGTCGAAAAACTGAGGGTAACACAAAGGCGAATGGAGAGATCAATGCTGGGCCTGACCTTGAAAGATCGCGTAAGAAATGAGGAGATACGCCGACGAATTGGCGTAGACGATATTATACTGCGAATCAATAAACAAAAGTGGAGGTGGGCTGGACATGTTGCTAGAATGGAAGACGGAAGATGGACGAAGAGATTATTGGAGTGGAGACCAAGAGCCGACAAGCGAAGTCGAGGCAGACCACCCAACCGATGGACCGACGACCTAAGGAGAATAGAAACAAACTGGATTGCAGCAGCTAGAGATAGAGAGAACTGGAGACGTTTGGAGGAGGCCTATATCCAACAATGGATGTGAAAAATTCGGCTGGATGATGATGAATTATTTGCATTTCTTGGCAAACGATTTACAAGAGTATTTGGAAGAAGTGAATATTGCAATAAGGCAAAATATGTGGTTTCTACAAAATGGCGTTCCACCGCATTACAGTAATGAAGTCCGGGAATACCTTTGCAGGCAGTATCCTGGTCGGTGGATTGGAAGGGGTCGTGACGCACCAATTTCTTGGCCACCCAGAACTGCAGGTCTTAAACCCATGGACTTTTGCTTTTGAGGGTTTATGAAAGAGAAAGTGTATTCTGTAACAATAGAGGACGAACAACAATTGAGGGTTAGAATAATTAAAGCTGCAAATCAATTTTGTTAGAAAAATATGATTCTTCAACGCATTCGGTTTTCCTTATTAAAACAATACCGAATGTGTATTGAAGAAAATGGGGTCATTTTGAATATTTATTGTAATATCCTATTTATAGAGGTTATAGACATTGTTTGTACGTGTTAATTCATTTAAGCCATTTATTCAGTTTCACATGTTTTTTTAAATGTTAATGAAAAGAGCCGTAATTCAAAAAACTGTTTTTTGACTAAAGTGATAAGGCAAAAAAATTTTAAAAATACTATGATGCCACAAAATTCATTTGATTTGAACGTACTCAAAAGTTTGGGGGGATTTAGGGCCGCATACCCCCCTTAAAATTTTTCTGTGCGCTTAGATTTTGTTGTTTCTTTTTTAAGAAAAATGCTTTCAGAACAAGAAAGTAACGTGTTCATTTCTTTTACAAAATGCCAAGTAGTTTAGAAGATATTGCAAAAAAACAATTTTTATTTTTTAACTTCAGAGGGCTGTAACTTTTTTTGTGTACACTTTTGTACTAAAATAAGTTGGATTCAATCAATTTACTTTTATCCTTGGAATGCGTGATTTAATTTGCGACATACATTTTTGAAACACCCTGTGTCCAATATCAAATCTGCAGAATTCATATCCGAAATCGGACAGTATAATTTTATCACCCAGTAGACCGAATGAATTTATTTGTTATTAAATACACACACGTAGTTAATTAGGTTACATTAGATTTGGTCAATTATCAACAATAAAATTTGGACATCAGTCGAAAGTGCTGACGAAAGTTAAACAATTTACACACAACTTAAACACATGTCATTAGGTCCGCGAATATATTGACCCAATTAAAACTTATATAAAACTAAAATCTCTTGCCTAGAGAAGCATTCAATCAATATTCACTCAACAAACGTGATAGTCTTCAACGCTTAACTGCAACAGTCTCTACTCAAAGTAATCCCGGGTCAACACCCATAGTGTACGTCTCGTCAATAAACTCTGCTTCTATTATTTTGTGTTTCCATTATTACTGAACGAACATCTTCACTGAGCCAACGAAGGGGAATTTGTTCACCCTGGGCAGAATGGATGAATAATCCAAAGGTATTAAAAAAATAGAGTTTATTGCAATTATTTTTGTCAATTGTTTTTAGAATTTAATTTAGAAACTCTCACATTAAAGACCTATTAAAAATCTGCAACTTTCATCTGAACCATTTTTCTCTAAAATGTATAAGAAACGTTTTATAGACAAAACATAGTTTTTTCCAATTTTTATGATTGTTTAAAAAAACAAAGCAAAGACTAAGAGTGGGGTAATATACCATAATATATAGCTATAATGCATATATAATCTTGCAATTCTTGATGTAATTTTTAGAGGTGTAAAAATATTTAAACTTTATGAACATAGGTACTATAGAAATTTTTTAAATTAAAAATCCGAAACGACGTAACCTAAAAAACTTACCGGTTCCGTTAATATCTTCTTGCATTTTTTCTTGGTCAGTATCCGAAAATTCACATAATAAAGCGGAAGTTTCACTAACATTACCATTTCTAAACATGTCAATACAGTACTGTTCTACAGAGTACGAAGCATCAAAATCAGAATAATACAGCGAACCATCATTCTGCATAAGAATATAATCGTATAATTCTGCTTTAATGGGATAATGCATCTTGGGACAACTCCTTCCAAATATTAAGAAGAAATCAGACAAAACTGTATCGTTTAAAGGGTCCGTACCGTTAAAGAATTTTAGGTCGATCGTTTCATTTCGTCTATTGGAGCAGGCTTTGCCCACCATCAACTCATTTTCAACACAGCACTTTCGAACACACTTTTTAATGTTACAAACACACCCTCTTATTATGCCACCGTCAACAAAATAATTGTCCCTATCAAAAGATATTCCGTTTTTAGTAATTGTTTGATTGTGTTTACTACCATCGGTTATGTCTACCGTTAAGTCTTTTGAACACGGAAAGTCTTGACAAACACAAAGAGAGCACAACAAAGAAAAACTTATAAAAGTCCGTAAATCCATGTTGTCTAGTATGACACTAAGAAGATAATTGAAATATTTCAAACTGATCCTCTTCAAACGGAAAGAGATAACCATAATGACTAATTCATAATTAAGTCGGTTTCAGTATTTAGGAAATTCATCACAACCACAGAGAAAGATGTAAACGAAATACGTATTTTACTGTGCAAGTAATTCAGTGGGAAATAAACGATAAATTTGAGATATAAGATATTATAAACCACTGATAAAACAGATCTGCGTTTTACCAAGAAAAATATTTAACGGTAATCAATCGATTAATTGTACAATTTAAAATGTTTTTTATATAACTGCATTATCAGTATTTATGTACTTGACATTAATTATTCACTCCTGGAGAATACATATTATTTAATATAATTTAATTAAGTAATAAATGTACTAGTATAAATTATGTATAGATACTTTTATAGATACTTTTACCTGTATAGATACTTTTGCTCCTGATATATTAGATCAGATGGTAAAAACTAATAAAATATTGTAGAATTTCACGTAAGAGTCAATGATACGTTATCGAATCCACGTTAAAGTGGAGGGGAGAACTTCAAATTTTTCCATTCAGACCACATTTCTTAAAATGGAACTTCCATTTTATTCCTGGAAAAATATTACGAATATGGGCTATGCTACTAATATGGGCTATCGCAGTTAATAGGAAATACACACCGCCATCTATACGTCAATAGCATGACTATAATCGGTTCACAATTTGTCGATAGCTCACTACAAGTTTAACCCTAATTAGAGAACTGAAATACAGACTGACGGTTTAAGATGTTTTCGAATAACCCACCTTATATCTAAACGAATACAATAGAGCAGTCAACCTTTTAATCCGATTACGAAGGTAGTCTGGTTACAGATGACCGACCAGTATCGTAGAGAATATGATTTGAAACATTTATTTGAACTAAATAAATATATTTTTTAAATTGTACTTATGTAAATTGTATTTTTGTTTTAATAAAACTTCTTTATTTTATTCAAAAATAAAAAGTTTCTTGCCATTTGTAAAAGATACATTTATTTAATTAAGGGGAAAGGCGCCAAATGTCGCCTGGCAAAATTTTCAATGTGTTTTAAATGTATCCATTATTTTCGAATCCGGAGAAAACTAATAAATATTTTTGAAAAATTTAAACGCAGAATGAAAAATTACATTATTACTGAGGGCAGAAAGTCCCTGAAAACTTCTACAATGTTTATTTTAATATGTTATGTAACAGGGGTGAAAATAAAAGAGAAAATATAGTATAATTTTTAATTGAAAATATTGCATGCAAAAGAAACTTTTATTATTCTAATAAATATTTCATTCTGCCTTTAAATTTTTCAAAAATGCTTTTAGTTTTCTCAGGATTTGAAAAAAAAATGGATACATTTAAAACACATTGAACATTTTGACAGGCGATATTTTGCGCCTTTCCCCTTTAATACCTCACGATTACAACTACTATTACTTACCTTATATAATTACGATTAGAAAACTATTCAAATTCAAAATAAATAGGTTCATCTTCGGAATCCGAGTCGTCTTGAGGGTTAATAATTAGCGGTTGTGTCTCTTCGGTTGCATCAATTATGTTATTAAGATCCCACATTTTTTGTTCTTCTACTATTACATGTCTTACTGCATCTTTCCAGTTTTGATCTCTAATATTCTGTTGACTCGTAGAACAATTCACGTACAGCTTGTATTTTATATGACGTATTTTTTCTAGCCACATAACTTTTCATTTGTGTCCAAATGAGCTCAATTGGATGAATTTGGCAGAGGTAGGGTGGAAGTCTAAGGACTGTGATGTTTCGTTTTTTCGCCATTTTGTCAACTACGTATTTCTTGAACTTAAATTTGTGTTGCCGGCAATTTTTAAAAGTTCTGCTTTTAACATCCCATCTTGGCCGTCAAGAATATCCTGTTTCTTCCACGCAGTCGTTGGAAGTCTTTCTACTAGTCGTGAATGATAAGGTGCATTATCTAATACTATAATTGAATTTGGTGGTATGTGTTCAATCATCTGCACAAAACACACTTCGAAAACATCAGCTGTCATCTCCTCGTGATAGTCTTTTGTGCTTTTGGACTGAAATTCCAACAAATCATGCTTAACAAATTCTTTTTTACTGCCAATGTGAGAAATTATTAATCTACTGCCTTTATCAGAAGGTGGGAAGATACCAGTAGACCAACCTTCCATAAAGGCTTGCCTGGAGTTTAATATGTTTTTATCTGACCAATTTTTTTAAAGTATGACCTGAGTTTACCCACGTTTGCCTACCTTCAGCCTTCAGAAGATTGGTCGGCCTTCAGCCCGGAATTTTCGTATGGATCTTAGATAATTTCTTCTCCAAAATATTATCTCCTCTCGGTCAACAATAATCTTCTCTCTTGGTGAATAGAATGCAACGGTACCGGTGTAAAACTTGATGATGTTGATGATAAAGCCATCACAAACAATCCAACAAAACCAGCACGAGCGAAAGATACGTATATGTTCGTAGGTATATGGAATAAAAAATCACTCACGCACTGCATATAATTCGCAAAAGAAGTATTCGAGACGCTAATTACTGCCGTAGACGCGGAAACACAGACGAGCCGTAAATAACATGCGGTCAAAAGCGTACTAAACAAAAAAATTGTTTTCGTTCGTAATAACTTCACCCTTTCAAGTTAAGTTTCGAATATAAACTGAACAAACGAGGCACGTGGCCAAAGCCAGCATCTTTATACCCATTATATTATTAAAACTCTGTGGAATTCCATCCTTATTATCTTGCAACGAATAGTACCTTCGGATATGAATTCCAGGTTTTCTAGTAAAGTGATTAAACGCGAAGATTAGTATTGAAATATCCAAAGAGATAAGGTATTCTTATTTACAAAATTGTTAATGGTTATATTCTTATTTTTATTAATATAATATAATAACCAACATTAGCCGTGAAAGTTTTAATTATGTTTTGCTAAATATATTATTATTAAAACATTATTAATATTGATAAACATTTTGGAAAGGAAAATAAATGTAAAACGTATTAATTTTAATGAATAAACACCTCAGGAACGCCTATGATGATACAAATTTTACGACCGTTTCATGACTTTGAGGCACATTTTGTGTAATCAACAATTTGTGAACGGATAGTAGACACTCTTTAGCCTAAAATAATAACTAATGCTTACGGTGACCCAGGTCCAGTGACCGTTAAAGCAATCACATGTTAGTGTTGACGCTGTTCAAGAAATTTTTCAGGTATGTTTTTATTTTAATTTAAATTTTTTTTTTTTTTTTTTTCGGTGAAAACTAAGAATAAATTTAATATTTTATCACACGTCGTAAGCGAAAGGTTGATATTTTCATAATATTTTCGACTTTTTCTTTTAATTTGTTTTGCATTTTAGTTGTACCGTGGTGCTACAAATATCAGCTATCATGTTTGTATTAGTTTAGTCTACAGGGTTTTTTTCTTTTCAGAATGCTTAGAAAAAGTATTGTAAGTCTAAAACAACGAAAGTCCTAGGATCCAGATAGCATGAAATCTGCTATTCAAGCTGTGAGAGATAAAACGATGGGTACATTCAAAGCAACTAAAACTTATAATGTCCCGAAATCGACAGTAAAACGGTTAGCAAAAATGACTAAACTGAATCCAGATGAAGCAGTACTTAAGAAACTGGGAAGAGGAACTATTCTTGGCCCAGATTTAAAAAAATGTTTGGTGGACTATATCCTTCAAATAAAAGCGAAATTCTATGGTTTAACGCGGACTGATATCAAACGAATGGCATTTAATCTGGCTGAATCAAATGGATTAAATCATCCCTTTATGCAGTTAAAAAAAGCTGGTAGAGGTTAGCTGGATTTGTTTTTGGCGCGTCATAAAAATACATTTGCTTTAAGGAGACCAAATGAGGGTGACAGAAGATATTGCGAAAACTGGAGAGGAATCACACTTCTGAATACTATAAATAAATTAACAGCAATAATTATAAACAACCGACTAACAAACAGTGTAGAACCAATGTTGAGGAAGGAACAAGCCGGTTTCAGACCAAACAGATCATGCGTGGACCAAATTAACACACTAAGAATAATTGTAGAACAGTCACAGGAATTCAACTCTCCTCTCTTTGTGTGCTTTGTGGACTTCAAGAGAGCTTTTGACACGCTCACACATACGGCCATATGGAAAGCACTGCAGGAAATAGGAATACCAGAAAAAATAGTAAATCTCATCAAAGAACTCTACAGTGACACAGAAAGCAAAATCCTACACAACAGCATAACATCTGACCCAATAGCTATGCTAAACGGAGTAAAGCAGGGCTGTGTTTTATCCCCCATACTATTTAACATTGTACTGGACTCCGTACTAACAAAGGTAAACTCTAATAGAGGAATTTACTGGGGATTAACAAACAGACTGGAAGACCTAGATTACGCTGATGATATATGCCTCCTAGCACATACAAAACAGGACATGCAACTCCAAGTAAACAAAGTACAAGAAGAATCAAAGAAGGTTGGTCTAGAAATAAACATCAACAAAACCAAAGAAATGCGATTTGGTACCAGAAACAACCAACCTATTATGATCAACGACCAGAAAATTGAGAGAGTAGCGGAATTTGTATATCTGGGCAGCATAATTGACTGTAATGGGGGTACAGAGCGTGATGTACATGAAAGAATAAATAAGGCTCGCAACGCCTACAACATGCTTAACAACATATGGAAATCCAGGATTTACCCAACTAAAACGAAATTAAAAATCTTCAACACAAATGTAAAAGCTGTATTACTGTATGGCTGCGAAACGTGGAAGATATCAGCACCCATAGTACACCAATTACAAGTTTTCATCAATAGAGCGTTACGAAAAATCCTTCGTATATTTTGGCCTAACCGAATCT